TCGGTAAATTGTTGTTGACCAAGTGATCGTCGGAAAGAGTTTATTGTTTATAATATTATATTATTACTAACTTTAAAATTAAAATATATTATTGTTTACTTTAAAATTAAAATATAATAGCTAAAATAAATCAAATACCAATTTAACTTTTTAAATATTTTTACAAACTCAAATCTAAATAAATTTTATAATTACTTTGATAAATTTAGATTGTAAATAATTATATTAAATTTTGATTTAAATATTATATCTAAACTTCTAATTTAATTATTTTTTAAATATATAATTTATATATATTTTTTTTTGATTTTTTATAAAAAAAATTCAATAAAAAATAAAAACATAGCCTTATTTTTTTTTAAAAAAACTCTACTAGTTACGTATAGTATATGTTTATCCAATTATATACTGTATATATTTTATTTAATTCTTGAATATATAGCTATGTACAGTATTATATATACTTAAAATACAACTTAATATACAATAAACAATAACTTTAATAATTTTTAATACTAATACTATTTTTATTAAAATACGTATTAATATATATATATATATATATAATATGTTATTGTATAATTTGTTTCAATCAATCAGGTTTAAAAGCCAATTCGGCTAAAACATTATAATTATATTTGGCCAAAAAACATTTGGCTATTTCAATTGATAATCGGATGGGGTGTTTCGAACTAAACTATTATCAAAATCTGAAATTTTTTTACCAATAAAAAGCAATTTTAGTGGAAGTTCAGCCTACAAAGTACATATATGGTAATTTGCACTTTTAAGAAGACCGCCAGATTGATATAAATTTGCCAGGCGAAATATTTCGGATTTGCCCGAAACACTAATCTGTGTGCACAATGTATACTCCAAATTTTAGCATTATCTACGACAATGTTTAACACCCATAGTGAATTTACATTGAATCAATCAAAAGTTACACAAGTATAAAACGCTGCATATTTAAACTTTAATAAACATAATATGGGCTGCCGTCAATAGAAATGAAGCCGATTTATTAGAGAAGCAGCCTTTGTTCTATACGGAAGTCCGACATACATATATAATAGCCTTTATTTTACACATATGTACATACGTACGAATTTAAATTGTTAAAAAAAAAACAAAAAAAAGACGAATACGTACGTACGTGCGTATAATTTTTTCAACAAATTTAGTATTACTACGTATATCGATATATGACAAATATATATTACGTACTAATATACATTTTTTAATATATCGATATATACGTATTATTAATATACATTGTTTTTTAAATATATATATATATTTTTTTAAATATATATAATTAATACGTATGCATTTTTTTAAATATATATTTTTTTTAAATATATATATATTTTTAAATATATGTATTTTTTTAAATATATAATTTTTTAAATATATATATATATTTTTAAATCTATATCGATATATATATTTTTTAAAGCATTATTTAAATAAAGGAAAAACAAATATTACATAATTACATTTTATATAGTAAATCCCGATACACGTCGGTATTAATAATACATAATTAATGATGAGACACAAAATATGCCCGAATATGTATTATAAGTCTATCTGAATCAATTCCCATATATGAGTGCTCGAGGGCGAAAAGGAGCAAGTAAATATTTGACCCGATTTGACCAATCAAATTTCAAGATCAGACCGATCTCGAAATTTAATTGGTCAAAATCGTACAATATTTTATGGAGTCAAATATTTACTTGCTCTCGACAATAATGAAATTTAAAGGAAAGAGGGTATTATGACGAAAGTGGACGATCAAAATCAATGAAATGAATCGAACGATAGAAAATCGTTTGGTTCTGATCACTGAAATGAATCGAACGATAGAAAAATCGGTTGGTTCTGATCACCGAAATGTGATTCGAATATTCGATTCTCCATACTATCACTTTCGCTATTAATGCCTCATATTTAATAGAATGCAATAGTTTATCATTACAAGGCATATAAAGAAACTACTTCTTGAATCTTTAATAACAGGATAGGCGTTTAGTACTAGGTGTTTGCTTTAGGGAAGAGTTTTTATGTAAAATGTATAAAAGATTTAGCACTCATTTTAAGTACATACGTATTTGTAAGGTCAAAATGCTTGAGAGAGGTTTGGGTTCTGAAAATTAATACTGAGTAATAATTTCACGATATAAAATTTACCCATGTAAATATGTTAAAATAAGAACCAATGCAAAGTAATATAATAAAGCACCAATAACATACAGTTCATATAATCACACCACATGCCAAGATAGGCCAAGATAGTAAAGTTTCAAGTTAGCAAAAGATGAAGTTTATTCTATATATTTCTATGAAAGATATGAAATTATCTATACATTAATTAATAAATATAATACAAGCGGTGGACTAAAAAGAAAAAAAAGGCAAGGAAATGAGAATGAAACTAAAGAAAAAAAAAAAAGGACTAGCGTAGTGTCAAATAACAACTTTGCTAGCCACACATTGTTCACTTCTTAGTTTAGCAGCATTCTTTTCAAAACTAGCTTGTTTACAACTTGTTAGATTTATGCAAGCATGTGCTTCAGGCAGCCTATGGCGAGAGCAAAAGTCCAGTTCGCAATAACGACAATGACCGACAATTTTTACGGCCTTATCGTTACAATCCCCAAACTTACACTTGGATTTATTAACCTTTGCACCACCACGCAAACGAAGAACTAAGTGGAGAGTTGATTCTTTTTGAATATTATAGTCGCTAAGCGTTCGACCATCCTCAAGCTGCTTCCCGGCAAAAATTAAACGTTGTTGGTCCGGTGGAATACCCTCTTTATCTTGAATCTTTTGTTTTACATTGTCAATAGTATCGCTTGACTCGACATCGAGAGTGATGGTCTTGCCGGTGAGAGTTTTTACGAAAATTTGCATTCCACCTCGTAAACGAAGTACAAGATGTAATGTAGACTCTTTCTGAATGTTGTAGTCGCTTAAAGTACGACCATCTTCAAGTTGTTTTCCAGCAAAAATCAAACGTTGTTGGTCTGGAGGGATTCCTTCTTTATCTTGAATCTTTTGTTTTACATTGTCAATAGTATCACTTGATTCAACATCGAGAGTGATAGTCTTTCCGGTAAGAGTTTTCACAAAAATTTGCATTTTTATGTTGATTATTTTTTTTTTATAAGTTGTAAAAAATAGTAAAAATTGTAAAAATGCGAGACAGAATTATGAGTTGTTTGAGAAGAATGAGGTTTTTAAGAGCCTATTTATATTTCTTTATAGCTCATGAAAATGATATACGTAAATGGATGAAATTGATGCACGATATATTTTTACAGTATGTAAATAAAAAAACCTGGATATTCTATCGGCCTATAAAAAAGCGAAACCGCTTTCCTACCTGATCCGAATTTAGTAATCAACAATCATGATGATTGGTAGATATTAAACCAACGCGCGTATATAATGACGAATCATGTTCAATTTTAGCCTTATAATACGTCATATTTATATGGTTCTTATATGTTTCTTATATGATTTTTTTACAATGGGTTCTTCTTCATGTCGATTATTATGAGTGGGATGATAGTGGCTTATGTTGACTTATGTTGACAAAATAATCCAATTTTTAGCCCTTTGCCCGTTTCTGCCCGTTTTTAACATGACTCAAAAATTTTTACCTTTTTTCTTTGTGTTACAGGTTTTTTTTTTTAAGGAAAATGAAATTTCGTTTATTTTAAATGAACAAGGATGAAATTAAACAAAACAATCAAATGTAACATTAAATGTGTCTTCTTCGTTTTGCAGCATGGTAGCGGGCTTGCGTAAGTCCTTTATAAAACGGTAACGAGCTTGCGTAAGTCCTTGCAGCATGGTACGGGCTTGCGTAATTGCTCTAGGAGTATCCACGCCGCTGACGCAAGCTATGATATTCATTTTATATAATCCTTATCAATTTCATTTTTGGTTTAGCATGTGTTACACTAATGTTGTTCGAACAAAATGTGAATTGCGTTTTTATTAAGGCAACAGACATTTAGTTTCAGCATTATTGATTACACGAACAAAGAAGTTACCCCCTTATTGTGTTCAAAAAAAATTCGGTTTTATGTTATTATATATTAAAAAGCAGGTTATTTGCAGAACTTTACCATTTCAAAAATAGCTATTCTTTGTTAATCATTTCAGTACAATTGTATATATTGTGTTATATTAACATTTTTTATATAATTAGTATAATTTTTTTTCTAACTTGTTTATATTCACCTATATTGTCTTTAATATGGTTATAAAAATATATCATTGTAGGTACGTATGGTGTTAAATACGGTATTTTTATTTAATACTTATTGTTATACGTAGTAATATTTTGTTATTAATATGTATTTTTATATAATACATAATACATATATATATATCTATATATATATATATTGTGCCTCAGACTAACGCTTGCCTCAGATGTCGATTTTTTGCCCAACATTAACTGATCGATATTGATTGGCCTAAATTATACCATAACCCTTTTCAAATTCACCAAACTCTAATCATCTGAGGCAAGCATTGCACAATACTGTATACAGTGTATATATATATATATTTATTTATATACGTACGTACGTATAACCATATTTGTTAATATATAATATTATTACAAAAAATATTGTACGTAATATATATACAATATATAATTAATGGCTATTTTATACTAAATTTAGTATATAAATTAAAAAAATTATTTGACTTAATTATATAATCTTTTTTTTTAACCCATATTTTGATAAATAATTGTTTTTCATGATATAAAATTCCAAAAGTAACCCGTCTATTCGGCTTTTAATTTTTAATTATAAAAAATTTTATAAGCTTTTTTGTTTAAAAAAATATTAAAAAATATAAAAAAATTAACTCAAAAGTACTGTATTAATAATAATAGTTTACAAAATTTTGTATCAAATATTTATAAAAACTAATCTGGTTAGATTATAAAAATAGTATTCTATTATATTATTGTAAACACTTTTTAAAAATTATACAAAGCTGAATATACAAAATATTAAGCTAAAAATTCTTTAAATTTATATCTTTTAAATAAAAAAAATTTAAAAAATTTTATATTATAATTTTTAAAATAATTAAGTTCAAATAAAATTTTAGATTTTTATATAAATTTTAAAATTTATTACAACTGCAATATATTGCACCCTTCTGTTATCTAAAATTTTTTATTATAAAATTATCTTTGGGATTCTAATAAAAAAAAATTTCTGTAAAATTTTAATATAATTTATATTGTTATATTAGTAGATTTTATTAGTATATTTTAGAAGATTTTATTAGTATATTTTATTAGTATAATTTAT